CAAATCTAGGTTCCACTACTTGCAGCTGCGTTGATGCCCATTTGCGAAGTTTTTGGGTCAAGTGTTCCCAATATCTCATGGACCCCTACAACAGGGGAAGAACTCTCATGCCATGCAGTGTTTGCAAATGCTTTTACACTTCTATTGAGGTTATGGAGATTCGATCATCCACCTCTTGAACACATGATGGGGGACTTGCCAACTGTGGGAAACCAAGTTGGTCCAGAATACCTATTGGTGCTTCGAAACTCTCGATTAGCATCCTTAGGTAATTCTCCCATGGATCGAATCAAAAGCAGAAGAGTTTCAAAATTTATAACCTTCCCTTCAGAAACCGTTACCATGGATCGCTTTCCAAAATTGAAACTCTGGTACCAGCAGCATCAAAAATGTATTTGTTCCACCCTCTCTGGGCTTGTACCTGGGACTCCTGTTCATCAGATTGTTGATGCACTCCTAACCATGATGTTTAGAAAAATAAATAGAAGTAGTCAGCCTTTGACTCCTGCGACTTCAGGTAGTAGTAATTCATCTGCGTCAGGAACGGATGAGTCCTCTATTAGACTCAAGGTGCCAGCGTGGGATATCCTCGAAGCAACTCCATTTGTGCTTGATGCTGCCCTTACTGCTTGTGCCCATGGAAGACTTTCTCCCCGTGAACTGGCTACAGGTTTGTTGAACTCTCTTTACAGATTAATAGAAAAGCAGGACTGAGATTCCTGTGACAAAGTTGTAAAGTTGGTTAAGGTTTGTTAACTTTGTTACATGCTTTATCTCAGGACTGAAGGAGCTTGCTGATTATCTTCCAGCAACTTTGGCAACCATTGTAAGCTATTTTTCAGCTGAAGTAACAAGGGGAATATGGAAGCCAGCTTGTATGAATGGAACTGATTGGCCAAGCCCTGCTGCAAATTTATCACTTGTTGAGCAGCAGATAAAAAAAATCCTAGCTGCTACTGGTGTTGATGTTCCTAGCCTTGCAGTAGGTATGTTATGATTGAAAAATGAAAGATCTTTTTTAAAGAACTTTTTTGTTTTTCCAGATGCCTGTTATGGTTGAAACATGAAAGATCTCCATATATCGCCTCTAACGTCTGATCCAACTTGTTGAGAAAAATTATGTCAGTTGTACTCTCGTGATGAAAAATGAGAATATGTTTGGTTGAGATTTAAGTTGTTAACTTCTGATAGTTATCCTGTTAACACTGTTATGCCTTTACTATATTGCTTGCAGGTGGGAGCGCTCCAGCTACGCTTCCCTTACCATTTGCTGCCCTTGTTAGTCTCACGATAACTTATAAACTTGATAGAGCCTCTGAGCGTGCCCTAACCCTGATTGGGCCAGCACTGAATTCCCTAGCTGCTGGTTGCCCTTGGCCATGCATGCCCATCCTAGCCTCATTGTGGGCCCAGAAGGTAAAGCGCTGGAGTGACTACCTTGTGTTTACTGCGTCTCAAACTGTGTTCCACCACAATGGTGATGCAGTGGTCCAGCTTCTCAAGAGCTGCTTTACATCCACTCTCGGGCTAAGTTCCTCCCGCGCTTACAGTAATGGCAGCGTGGGTGCCCTCCTTGGCCATGGCTTTGGTTCCCATTTCTCTGGTGGGATCTCTCCTGTTGCCCCCGGAATTCTTTACCTACGTGTGCATCGGTCCGTCAGGGATGTAATGTTCATGACAGAAGAGGTGCTCTCTCTTTTAATGTTCTCCGTTCGAGACATTGCAAGTTGTGGGTTGCCCAGAGATAGAGTGGACAGATTGAAGAAGACCAAGCATGGGATGAGATATGGCCAGGTTTCTCTTGCCGCGGCAATGGCACGAGTCAGGATCGCAGCTACACTTGGAGCCACTTTAGTTTGGATATCTGGTGGGTCTAGTTTAGTTCAGTCCTTGATCAAAGAAACTCTACCTTCTTGGTTCATCTCCACGCATGGTTTGGATCAGGAAGGCAGAGAATCTGGAGGCATGGTTGCCATGCTGGGTGGCTATGCCCTTGCATATTTTGCAGTGCTGTGCGGGACATTCGCTTGGGGTGTGGACTCGGTGACGCTGGCATCAAAGCGGCGGCCAAAAGTTCTCGGGGCACATTTAGAATTTCTGGCTAGCGCACTGGATGGGAAAATATCACTGGGTTGTGATTGGGCCATGTGGCGGGCATATGTATCCGGGTTTGTGAGCTTGATGGTGGCTTGCACGCAGAAGTGGGTGCTGGAAGTTGATGTGGAAGTGTTGAAGAGGCTGAGCAAGGAGCTTAGGCGGTTGAATGAGGAGGAATTGGCTCTGGCCCTGCTGGGGCTTGGCGGGGTAGGGGCCATGGGCGCAGCAGCTGAGCTAGCCATTGAATGCGAGGTTTAAGAAGACGACTGACTGGCTGGCTTGTGTATGTCGTCTTGTATGATATCCTTCTTGAGATGTAGAGATTGGGATTATATAACTATATATAAGATTATTTTTTGGGAGAAAATGTAGCTTATTCATGTAAATTTCAAGCAGGAAAAAAAAAAAAATTTTGTTGCTTCTATATATAACTTGAAATAGTAAAAATGATGTGATCAATGAAAGATGCTTTCAGGCAAATCACAAAGAATGTTTAGGGTGTTGGCTTAATGAGCGTATAACTCGATGGGCATCCTAAATAATGTATTTTTCTTCACTGAAATTTGACGGCACAACTTTTTTATATTTTTTATAATCAATTTGAACACAAGGTCAATGTGCAAGACTTCAACGAAATAAGTTAATTACTATTTATTAAGTAATATAATTTATGAAGTTAATTACAATAATTAATACTAATTATTCACTAAAGAGATAATAATTAAAATATAATTACTAATGAAAGTAATTAAATAAGGGTAAGATATTATTTAAGTACAAAAAAGAAAATAAAATAAAACAACTATTTATTGACCTAAAGAAAATGAAATACTGTTGAATTTTAAATAGTATAGCCTGCCGGCTATGCTGTTAAAATATTTGAATATATTTCACGAGTATAGCCGTGCGGCTATACTATTTAAATATTCTTAAAGAGGTATTCAAATATTTTAACAGGATAGCCGGGCGGCTATACTCTTTAAATATTCGAATTTATTTAATACAAATTTATAAATAAACCCAATCCTAGACATGTATTTATAAAAAAAAACCCAAACACTATTTAAACATAGAAACACACCCAAAATCAACAATTGTATATTTTTTGGGTGTGTTTATAAATGAGTTTTGAGTGTGTGTAATGATGGGTTTTGGGTGTGTTTATAAAATGTTTTGGGTGTTGGGTTTTTTTATAATTTCAACCCCCATTTTGGGTGTTTTAGTGAAACTCCCTTTATTTAAAGAGGTATTCGACGGCTATACTCTTTAAATATTCCAATTTACTTAAAAAGTATAGCCGCACGGCTATACTCTTAAAATATTGCTTTTAATAAAAATTCAAAAGTATATCAGTCTTTTTTATTTAAAAAAAAAGAAAAAGTAATTAACTTCTTTTTTTACTTTAATTTTCATCTGGACAAAATTTTCTTCGGAATAGCTAATTACTTAATATTTTTAATTGAGTAATATCTTAGTTTATTTAATTAATAATTAGCTTTTATTGAATATTTAGTATTTGAATATTTTAATTAGTTTTATAAATTACTTAATAAATAGTAATGAATTATTTTGTGCATTAAAAAATTAGTTTTAATTTCTAAAATTATTTTAAATCATAGAAAATTAGTTTAAGTACCCAAAAAGATTTTAAAATTTATTTCAGTATTCCAAAAATGAATTTTAGTCTCCAAACCTTAAATCCAAGTCACAACTTGATTTGATAATATCAACTACGTGTTGGAGTTTGAATCAAATACATGAACTTGACTCCCACATTGGAAAATGAGAGAAAGTCTCTACTCCTTGTAAGTGTGAGTCTTCTCACATGTAGTAAATAGAAGATGAGCCTAATGGAGCGTAACTTGGGCCTCATTATATATACATAATAATTAATATTTAATAATTGTAAACTTGACTAGATTTAAAATTTTAATTTTAATTTTCAAACAACACCACTAATTTTATTTTTTTTAAATGAAATTTCTATCTAAAGGGTCATTTACTGGCAAAAAAAAAAAAGTTAAAAAGTGGCATAAATTGAATATTGACAAAAAAAAGAAAAAAAAAGAGAAGAGGATCGACAGTAAGATTGTAAGAAAATGATTTTTAAAAAAGTATTTAACCTAATTTTGTACTCTAGTTTATAGTACTCTATAGAAATATGCGGTTTTTTTATTATAAAAAAAATACATAGTATTGTCTTTTTAATTTATAGCTTGTATTTTAAAGTAGAATATCGCTTCTATTTTTAGGCCCCGTTTGGTTCATGGGAAATGAATCATGGGGATGGGAAAGCATTGCTTTCCCATGTTTGGTAAGTCAGGCATGAGAAATCGTTTCCTGGGACATGAGAAAGTAGGAGGGAAAGTGATTCCATCATTCCTCCTTGAGTTTTACTTTCCCTTCCCATGGGAAAGTAAGGCAAGCATTAAATGCATTTTTTTTCTGACTAATTTGTCCTTACTAATAATTTTAATTACAGCTTATCCAACAGCAGCAACGTTCTATTTCCCCTTGGATATTCTTTTTTGTTTTTTTTAAATTCACATTTCTCAAAACCCTCCCAGTAGCAATGTTCTATTTTTAATAGGACATTTTGCATATTCGGACTATCAATAGGACATTGGTGTAATGTTTAATAATTAAATTGGAAAGTTTAATAAAATTAATAGATTTTTCATATTTTTAATAGGGGTACAATTGGGAAACTAAACAAAATTTGTTTTCTATTTCTACTCAAAACAAACATGGGAAAGGAAATAAAGTGATATTTCCGGGTTACTTTCCCGGCATTACCAAACATGGAAAAGAAATCACCATTTCCCATTTCTTGGGAAATCACAAGGGAAATGATTTCCCATCAAATCCATTCCGTGAACCAAACGGGGCCTTAGAGTTACCAAATGTTTCCGAACATAAAGTTGGCAAACACCGAGAACACTCAGAGTCTTGCTCAGTACAGAGTCGGTGAGTGAAAACAAAGAGAAATGGAAGCAAGGGTGTTCCCGCTAACGTGCACAGCGCTTCCACTCTCACCTGCGTCATCATCTTCATCTCATGGAAGGCTCTGGCCCTCTCCTTTCAAGCCCAAACATGCACCTAAAACAGGCACATACTATTAATTTGATAACCTTTCAGTGCTCTCGCATCACTTGGTTTTCAATTTTTTCTTCCTGAAGTTGTATGTCTTTTGGGTTTTTTAATTTCAGTTTTGAGGAAGAGCATGAACAAGGAAGAGCCACTGTTAGAAGGTCTTCCCAAAGAGTATTACGACGATGTAAGTGTCCTTTATCCTTAATTGGCCAAATGGGTGTCCAAATTTCATATTTTTCTCGTTTAGAATCAGATAACATGAATTTTTGTATGAAGATGTGTTCTGTTTTTGCTGTGTTATGCCAAATTCAATATTATTTGTTAGCATATTTATAGTTTTGGAAGCTGGAACTGGAAGTAAGCTTTTCTAAATTAGGAATGGCAAGCTCGGCAGAGGGAGAAAACAAAGGAGTTGCATCAAAGACGTCAAGAGGAAGACGAAGAGGAGGAAAGAAAGGTTGAAGAGTATCGCGAAATTGGCATGAGATTGAAGGGTTATCCGGAAGAAGATGTTCGGAAAGCTCGGAAATTGATTTCCAGCTTTATCAGAGCGGCCGAAGAAGTGGAAGAGGTAATATCAGAAACCGTGAACACTTTCAATTCCTTATGTATGCTTTATTGAAATTTCCTACTTCAGCTCAGACTGTGGGTTAATTGATGTTCATTATGTAATATATGCAGAAAATTGAGGAAGCTGCTGAGAAAGGAGAATTGACTGAACTTGTTTTGATGGTCATATGGAATCGTCTTGACCTCGCTCGACGTGATGTAAGTTGATCGTGGAATGTCTTTAAAAATTTCCTCATTAATCAGTCTAATGCCTGGCATAGCAACATTTATCTTCAGAAGCGTAAGCATCATTAGCTCAGATTTCAAAGTTTTGCAATGGAAAATAATATCAAAATTCTGGTCAAGAAAATGTAATATATTTCTTTTCACAAGATTGGTATAGGATAGTTATTAAAAGACTGATTTAGTGCTAGAAATGAAGATGCTATTTTCATATCCTATAAGTTAGTAGCTGGCTTCAATAAACTGGCCAGCCTTGCTGATAGCTTGAGATCAGCAAACTCAAACTAACGAGTAGTTTCGGATTAGTCTAATGTTATAGATAACCTATAATAACATTTTCCTCGTTACTCTCTCACATTTCCTCTTTCCGGCTTATTGATTTTAGGTATTTATGACCTTTTTACAGGAAGAAAAGGATGTTATTAGAAGTCTTGATTTGTTATACAGAAGGGTTGAGGTATGAGTTGCTCTCATCCTATTCTAAGTTCTAGCTATGAAATTGTTGATTTTAGCATTTTGGAACCAGCTGTTAACTTGTTATACTTTTGATTTCGTTACTTGTGGGATAATTTTGAGCTGTTGTGATTACTGAATGGTTTCAGCCTAGAATATTTTGCAGAATTAGTTTAAACTAGTCTTTATACCCCCTAAGCTCTTTATGTATAATCTTATTTGCTTCTTTTTTCCATTCTTGGAAAGAAAATCACAAAATCTAAGTTTTACTCAACATTTTAGGCTGAGATTTTGAAACGGGAGGCTTCTCCTGCCATGAGACTGCTCAATGATCTTTTGAATATGCATGATGGGTATGATGGTGAAGGATGGCTGAAGGAATGCAAAAAGTGTATGGTTGATACTTTTCCACGAGAGGATCCATTTAGCATTCTCGTTCCAGAAGGATTTGATATTGATAAGGTATGCTGCAAATATGCACATTGCAGGCTTTTGATTGAGTTGTTTTCAGATTTCCTCTTTTCCACAGGTTTTGAATGTCTGGCTTTTAGGTTCAGTCTTTGTTAACGTTACATTATTCTATCTTGTGAAGGTTTCTTTCTCAGGAATTTTTTGTATAAGCTTTTTAAAAAAGGGTCGGGGTTGTACTGTTGGCTATTTAAGCAAGTTCAAAAGGAATTAGACGATTGAAGTCCCATTTACTCGGACCCACCCTGTCATTATTTCTAGGGAATACCATAACGAGATAATATTGGAGTTAGTATAGATTGTTATTACACTTCAGAATGCAAGTGAACATTGTTGGACACAACTTTTTGGTTCCTAAATAAATTTAACTATTCACAGATGATTTTGATTCAACTCTTTAATAGATGATGTTGTCCACAAGGTTATGTAATTGTTAATTTAATTTCGTCATTTATGACTTTTTTTATTCGGCTATCCTCCATCAGCATCAGGGACCACTCCGGCTACCACTTGAAGCTGATGATGTTCTATTGAGGGTAGACTTTGTTAGAGAAGTTGATGCATTGCTACAAGAGGTTAGGGCCGAGCAAAATGAAGTACAAAATGCACAAGGGCTTGATGCTGAGTCCATTGCAAGTAGGTTGAAGCAGCAGGAGAAGCAGCGGGCCATACGCTTGGTAGAAGCTATACTAGACCTGGCCATTAATTTGAAGTGGTAGCAATATTGCGTTTTTATTTTTGTTTTAGTTTTTGTAGCCTTTTCTTTTTCTTGCTAAAGGTTTTCTTTTCTTGGGGGAGAGGGGGCTGTTGCAGTTAGATCCCCTGTTATGGCAGCATTAAGCTCTTCAGTCAGTTACAGGATTCCGTAAGTAATTATTCGAGTACAAAACTCTTATATGCAAGGACATTGTGTATTTGCCTTTGGTTTTTGGCTTTTGGCTTTCAAACGATCAAAGATTCAATGTCAGAACCACTCATGCTGATTCCACTTGGTATATAAGAAAGGGTTAATTTCAGTTTGGTACCTTGAACTTCAGGGTACCAAACTGAAATTAACCCTATAAGAAAAGACGAATTTCCTGAATAATTATTTTATTGCTTTAATTAAAAATTGAAGGAATTGAAATTACAGGAAAGGCTGTTGAATTTACATGGAATTTACAGCAGTGCCCTATGTGGTACTATACCGCACTTAATGGTCTTATTATCTAAGTATCCTATCAAAAGTTAACCAACGAAATAATAATATTCCACAATGTAATTGAATATGGACCAACTAACAAAGTTACAAGCTTCTGGCCTCAAATAGAGCACAACTGTGAGACTTCATTTCATATGCAAATAAACCCCACCATTTGCCGAACGACGGCTCACCATCGGTAGAGAAAAAACCTGGGAATGGAAGAGCTGTGTCGACCAAACGGAGCCATCCCATACCTTCCGGGGGCGGAGGCAGAACAACAGTCTCTGAATGATCAGCTGCACTGAAGGCAGCAAATAAGTCTCCCCATGAATGAGAAGATTCATCCCCTGCTTGGTTCACTTCATCTTCGTCTGCTTTCAACCTCATGGCAAGGAATTTGCGGGACGGATCTTCCCATCTTGGAGGAGTTTGATCACTCTTATACCAGTCAATATTTTCTTCTTTCAAGAAGTTCCTCTTCTGAAGAAGGTCACTACGCCTCTTCCTAAATGAACTTAAAAATGCGATAAATTGTGTGGTTTGAGTAGCAAAACCTGTTTCCAGTGCATTCCAATCGAAAGCTTTTCTGTCACTGTATGCAGGGGAACCACCCGTGGATTGTCCACACTCATCTCCCATATTAAGAACAGGAACGCCCAGTGAAACAAACAAGATAAAGAGAAAATTACGAATTTGTTTAAGTCGTCTTTCTAGTACAGCAGTTTTATTTGTAGGTCCTTCTTCCCCACAGTTCCAACTCAGTTCTGAAGCTAACTGAACACCACTGAAACTAACAAGGTCCACAAGAGGAAGTCCAGAATTCCTGGAAATAAAATTGAAAGCGAATGCCGGGCCTCGTCCATCCGAGAAGATGTCCCCGTTCCCACAAAGCCGTGTAGCAAGGTCACTGAGAAGACCCTTACCCCTCAAATAGTTTCTTACATCATTACAGAATTTTGTGTTTACTTCTGCCCATCTCTTCCAATGAGGAAAACGAGTTTCCTTTGGTGCCATGCCATGCGGATCCCAGCAGTCTGCAATGATCTTGGTCTTCGAAAGTAGAGGATCGAAAGCAATTGCTTCAACCAAAGGTGGGCGAGATAAGTATTCACCATTGAACCCTCGCAAGAGAGATGATGCATTTATGAAACAAAAACCATCGATGTGAAACTCAGTCACCCAGTACCGAAGACTATCCAATACCAGTTGTTGCACAATAGGGTAGTTACAATTCAAAGCATTTCTGGCTTCCAAATCCTCAACCTCATTTACATGATAATAAGATGAGATATCGATTCCTTGCAGAGCTTCACCCTCAGCAGTATGGGTGAAAACAACTTCCAGTAGGACCTCTATTCCATTGGCATGAAATTTCCTCACCATCTCTTTCATGGAATTGACAGCTGATACAGGGCCTCTAGAAGGTCCAATACAATCCATTGGTGAGAAGAAATGGCGAGGGAAATATGGACCCTTTTGCTCATCAAATGGGAAAATGGGCTCTAATAAAACTGCATTCACACCCAGATCTTTAAAATGCTCCAACTTCTCTGTCAAACCTGAAAAGCTGCCTCCTATATTAGTTGGTAGCTGACTGGACTTGTGCTCTGTAAAACGCGTCACGTTCAACCGATAAACCACTAGTTTTTCCATACTTAAGTCAGGTCGAACATCACCAGCCCAGTCAAAAGCAGGTTCTTCGCATAGTCTTCCAAGATACTTCAACCCTGTTCCATGATTATTAGGAATAGATTTCGCAATGACCTTAGCATATGGATCCAGCAGGACATGCTCTTCATCAAAGTTATTTTTGTTTGTCAGCAGAAGGTTCCCCTTAAATTTATAACCGTAGCTCACAAAAGTCCGTGCACTTCCAAATGACACATGCCAAATGTCACCTGATCGATTGACATATGGATCTAGATCAAGCTCCAAAGCAGGTTTTTCAGCTGTGGTGTTATCATACAAGCATAAAACCACACTCTCTGCATTTCTTGAAAAAATGGCAAAGTTCATGGATCCATCATTAGAAAAGGTGAGACCCAATGGACCAGGATAACCTCGACCAAAACCAACTGGGACACAAAAATTTGTCTTCCTATGGCTTCTTATCTCCATATCACTCACATTAGCATCTGCTGGAGAAGTCAAAATAAATGAGAAATAGAAAGGGAGTTGTTTAGCCTCAAACTCCAATTCGAGAGTAAACCTGCCAGAAGAAGTCTGAATGAGCGGAGTTTCGAGGGTGGTAGTTGTGTCATTTGGGGTTGAACTTTTGAAGTCTAATGGCATGAAACAGGATGAATCAGCTCTATACATGCCCCAACGCAGTACTAGTCTTCTATCACTGCTAGACAGGTATAAAGATGGAACTTCAATATTCACAGTGTACTTGGCATTTCTCTTTCTAACAAAGACATTTACCACGTCGCCAATTTCTGTCCTAAATAGATAAGTTGATACCTTGTCTATTTCTTCAGTTTCAGTACCAGTGGAGAATCGTTGCTCCATTGGCTCAACAGAAACTTGGGATTTAGCATACACTTTCAAGTTATGATGCCGTGGCAGGTTTTCATTGAAATTCTGCACAACTTCACGGAAAACTAGCTTTCTTTCTACATCCAATTTTACAAAACCATGCATAGCTTTGTCCCTGTGTCTAAAACCATTGGTAGCTGTCAGCTTAGATGATTCAGTGATTCCACAGTTCAAACAACAGGCCTGTATTGCAATTGAAAGCGGAAGAGTTGCCATCTACAGTCTCAAAGGTGGAGAATTGCAAACCAGATTGCAGACCGAAACCCTTGCAAGCAATAAGATCTCCCTACTCAAATGCAAACAGGTACTCTGTTCAAAAGAAGTATACAAAAAATATCATTAAATGTAGACGAATTTGCCAATATCTCTAATATTGGATCCAAAAAATCATCTTCTCAGATATCATTAACTTCTTAAATCACTGGCAATTCAATGATTCAAGCTGTAACATACAATTGCAATGACAACATTTTCAAAGATGAACATTTCCAATCAAAGAAAGAATAGGATCCATGAGAGGGTGATCAATAATAAAAAAACTACGTCAATCAAGAAAAGAAGTTAAACCCAGTTGCCATTTTGAGAAAATCTCGATGGCCGTTCACAATTCAAGTATAAATGATCAAAATCTACCCAAATATCAATTGCATCGTCAGCTAAGCAACGAGACAGAAACTCACAAAACAATAACGAACTGAAAGATTCAATCACAACAAAGTGAGAGGTATTGAACTTACATCATTGGATTTCTTCAGTAAAAATCAGACTGATGCACCAGGAGTGATCCGAGAGAAAGAATGAAGCCAATCACAGTGGAGGGGCAGGAAGACGAGAGCAGAGAGGTGTGAGCTTGTCGTTTTATCGAAAATTCGCATTTTAATGGCCGCACAACGCAGCAAAGCTGATTGAGATCGAGATAGGACAGCTTGAATTGATGGGTGACAGTGAGCCTGAATTGTTATAATGAAAATTCCATGGGTAAGATGCTCGATCTTAACCGTTCGATTTTAGCTAAAATTGTGTACTGTCCTCCTCTTTCTGGTAGGTAAATATTATAAAATTTGTACCCAAAAAAAAATCACCAATTTTTTTTTATAACAAAAAATAAAAGTAAAAAAGAGGTCCAGGCCTTTACAACATTCTCCGGTTATTTAAATTTGTAATTTGGGCAGAGGTGGGTTAGGTTAGGGCAGTGAGCCGGCCCTTTGAACTCAAGTTCGATGTCCCTCTCGTACTTGTATAAAAAAAACAAAAATTGTAATTTGGATCCAAAATCTTGATAGTGGTATTGTTTGTTTATGTTTATTAAACCATACAATTGAAACAAATTTTGGTAATTTCTATTTTAACAAAACTACAAACCACCAATGAGCCTGAGCTGCCATGGCAGTAAATAAACTCACGTTACAACATACAAATATAGGCTTCCTTCCCTATTATCAACAGAATGAATACTAGAGTATAAATCAATGTTCTTCCTGGTGCATTTACAAGATCAAAACTAAGTAACAACATTTAAAGGGAAATTAATAAACACTAGAAGAAGTAGGGGCTTTTAATCCTAAGATAAGATGTCAGATATATCAATTTTTAGCTTCAGAACTGACGTCAGACTCATGTTTGCTTCCCATTTGGGATGTTCTCTTTGTGGGAACAAGAGGGCTGCTGTCTTCTTCATCAAGGTCTTCATGTTTCTGCGGCTGCCCTCCCTTGAACACAGGATGTACATAAGCATCCTTAAGATAGTTCATCAAATTCAGGTTTGGTTCTGTTGCCTTTTCAACTGTATCCTTCACCATTGCATCCTGTTGCCATTTGCCAAACCAAAGACATATAAATAGATTAAGAATATATTAATGCAAGTGATTAAGGTTAAGTAAATGTACAGATGAAACTCCTTGTAACGGAAACTGGACAATTGAAACTAACCTGCAATGGGAATTTAAGGAATGCTGATTCGAAACGTCCCTTGCAGACTCTATGGAACCAGATTGTCAA